ACATATTATAATTCTATTAATTCTGGCGATTTTTTTGTCATAAATATAAGCACGTGCGCGTGCGCGTGCGCGCGCGCGCGCGCACACACACACACACACACACACACACGCGCGCGCGCGCGCGCGCGCGCAAAGTAAGAATATAAAAAATGCTTATTATCGTTGCAAATAAAATTAATTATCTTATAATTTTAAAAAGATTTCAAAATTTTTAAACAAATTTTTGCTATAGTATCATTTGTATTATTTCATATGATTTTAATCGAACCGTTTATAAGGTTGTAAGTAATATTTGATCATACAAGTGCTAAATTTATTCGAGAAATTTATTCTTATAGGCTTAAAAACAAGTAAATACTTTTTTTATCTCATTTATCAACATAAATTCTTTTCTTTTATAAAAACAGTCTAAATTTATCTTTGTTCGGAAATACGCATTTTCTGTATATCAATTCTCATATTTTAATATATATTGTCGCATAAAGATGAAAATGTTGAATGTTGAATAAAAAAGAATATTAGACCTCAATCTCACTAAATCTCAGATTCAGAAGAAGAAAAGTGTATAAAGAGATTTTCTAATTCCAAATTGTTGCTGAATTTATTTTAATATTATTTGTTTATTTGTATGATGCTATTATAATTAATTATATGTTAAATGAATATTTGATCTAATATTTCCTGTGATATAATCAGCGCATTCATACTAATTTTTAAACTGTCTAAACTACAAATTTTTTACGAGATATTTTATTCATAGTTAATTTGTAATTTGTTTAGACTTTTTAGGATATATTCTCGGCACTCATTACAAGATCGTATTTATATTTTTAATCGGATAATTGTAATAATAGTAATAGTAATAAATTGTTGTCAGTAACGAATGAATATTTTATTTTAATTTTGCAAAAGAAAAGTATTAATGTCAGGTGTAAGCAGAATTAGATTTGTATAAAATTTCTATCATATAAAGTTAACTAATATTTTTATCAATTCTTTGAATTAGATAGTAATTCCTATATGAAGCCATTAATTAATATCAAGGTAATCAAACACATACTTTAATCTGTATGAAAAAAAAGATTAACTTTTATAATAATTTTTAGTAACGATTCTGAAAAAAAGTATTAACAACCCAGCAAGCAAAATGCTAACAATTTGCTGGCAGATTGGCAACAAATTTGATCAGATATTGACTGCAAATTCATAGCCATCT